AATTCGTGGAAAATCAACTCAGTTGTGAGAAATTTAAAAATATTGGTTTCTTATTTTTAAGACTATTTCTATTATTAGCAAAATAGGCATATTATAATGCAATATCATATATTACACTATCACCTAGAACTTATTGTGAAATTGTCGGCCTTCGGTCGCGCATTAAAAAAATAACCCTGGCCGAACAAATACCCGTGGTCCCTGAAGTACTTTCGCATAGTACTCCCAGGAATAAAGGGATGTTCAACTTATTCCAGTGTGAGAGCGCCTCAAAATAAGCGTTTTTTTTATAACATTTTCCATTATGGCCACATAGAACAAATAAGTATTTTTGGGCATTTTAAATTAAAACACCCAAAATTTCCTACGAATAAAAATTACTATATAGTGGTTATTTATTATATGGAGAAACGATTTAAATTTTTTTAAAGTATATTAGAACAACTGATTTTTGACCTTTCAATTCCCAATAAAAGGATTTAAGCTTGTTAACTCTCAATTATTAAATGTTTTAACATAATACTATGATGCTTCAAATTACAAACTCTTTCGACAAATACCTTTAATTTTCACAAATTTATTTAATTTTCATTGTTTTACACTTTTTATAAGTGGTATTGAACGATGCAACAAATCCCTCCGTTTACATATCTTTTTGCTCAGATTTCAATCTGGCCATCGCTCGTTTCCAATTGTTAAACGTCAGAACCTCCTGAACTCCATCAACTGTCAAAGTTTAGGTGGTTTTGACGTTTAGCAATTGTTCTCTCACTTCCAGTGAGAAAGGAGTTAAACATCTCATTATCTCTGGTACTCCTTTCAGCGTTGGCGGCCTTCGGCCGCGCTTTAAAAAAATAACCCTAGCCGAGCGAATATCCGGGGTGGCTCAACATTCTTTCGGTACTCCTTTCTGCGTTAAAAATAAAAAAAATATATTGAGTTTTTGTTATAAAGTGGTTATATTTGTTGGTTATCATGCACTTATATTGAAGCAAAATTTGAGTTTTCGTTATAAAATGGGCAAATTTTAGTTATTATATCTGTCAGCGATTTCCATTTATTTTTGATTATACATTGTTTTGTATTTTAGGTGACGATACATATATTTTTATATTTAAAATTTGAGTTTGGATATATTTGGTGGTTATCATGCACTCATATTGAAACAAAATATGAATTTTCGTACTGAACTTGTATACTTTACACTTTATTACGTAATATTATAATATAATATCACTTTTACATATGTGTATATAATATTTATTACTAATACATGTATATAATATTACGTATTTTCTTAGCAAATTTGAAAAAAAAAAAAAGAAAAAAAGGAGTTCCAGCGAATTGCCTAATCATCACATGGCAGCGCTCTATTTCGTCGTAATTTTTGGTAAACAAATGAGGTTCAAACGAATGTAAAATGTAATTTTTAAAATAAAGATTTTTTAGGTAAAAAACCTGCTAAAAATGTAAAATTTGGACTTATTTAAAAGTTTCTAGTGTAATTTAAATAATTTTAAGTGAAAAATTTTAATAAAGTGTGTTTAATGTGGTGAAATAGCTTCTTGAAATGTTGGAATTTTGGTAATTTTTTAAATTTCAGGTCGAATATCTCGTAAACTAAACGTTTGCGGTGGGGAATGTTGGGCATGGTTTTGATTTCGGTTAAAAAGTCACATAAAAGTTATTTTTTGTGAAAATTCCAAAGCATGATTTGTAGTGCGAGTCGTAACCTTCCTTTTGATAACATTGGTTTGATAAAATTCTACAAAAATTTAAAAGTTATAGCCATTGGCGCAAAAAACCCGACTTTGCGATTTTGAAAATAGGTGGGGAATGTCGGGCCAGTCTGTAAATCGATTAAAACATGATTGTTACCGATGAAAAACCTTTATTTATCAATGGAAATGAAAGAGAGATTCATAAATAATAAGAAAAATAGGAATTCGCGAAAAAACTTATTCCGACTCGCAGT